TTCCCACCTGGTGACGCCTACAGGCTGGGCTCTGCGACACGGGGGTCCTCCAGCCTGTGAGACAGAGCTCAGCAGAGGCTCTGGACCTGTGTGGCAAGGAGGCTGCCGCTCAGAGGGGGAGCCCGCGTGGTCGGCCACCACAGCTTGGAGAGGTCCCTCTCAGACTGCAGACCCGCTTTAGGGACGCCACAAAGCAAGACTCCACCAAGGGACGGAGACCTCTGCTGCCCCTGTGGCCGCCCCACCTGTACCTTTTTGCGCGGCCGCAGCTTGTCCCGCCACTCCTTTAAGTGCTGGTTGTGGCTCTCGTCCAGGGCCTTCAGCTTCTGGGCTTCATGCTCCACCAAGAGGTGACATTTTTCATTCTGAAACAAACGCCAGGCAGAACAGGTGTGGCCATCAGAAGGTAGGGCATGGGGCGCGGAGGCCGCGGTGAGCGGCTGGCGGGCGCCACCTCACTGGCTGTCACTTCTTCCCTGGTTTTGAGGCAGGTCTTGCCGGGGTGCCCAGCTGGCCTCCAATCTGCACTTCTCCTGCCTCAACATCCTGGGTTGAGCCTGGCCTGATCCAGGGTTCTAAAGTGTCTGCCCGAAGCCCCACTGTGCCGCACTGACCTCCAGTCCTTAATCATAAGCCTCATTTATATATAACTGTATACACGGAAACGCATGCGCACCAGAGGCGCCCGGGAACCTTACGCGTTAACAGTATCTGCTCCTCTCGCTGCCGGTGGGATGTGCAGCGAGGCTGGTGCTTTGTTCATTGTCTGAATTTTAAAAAGTGAACATATGGTTTAATAAACCAACAAAACTCTTAGCCCTACACATGGCATTCGCCCTGATCCCACCACACGGAGGCCCACTTTTAGATAGACCTGCTGCCCGGCTCTGCCCGCTGTGGCTCACCCGAGGTGCGATTCCAAAACCCCGCCCCCTCCAGGCTCGACACTATGAGATAAGCCTCTTTGCAAAGAAGAGTATTATGCATAACATTTTTTTACCTTAAATCGGTCATCTTATTTTTTAAAAAAAATGTTTGTAGTTGTAGATGGACAGCATGCCTTTTTTTTATTTGTTCATTTTTTTTGTAGTGCTAGGATGGAACACATGCGAGGCAAGCGCTCTGCCACTTAGCTACAGCCCAGCCCTATGCATATTTTTTTAATACTTTTTTAACTGTAGATGGACAAAATACCTTTATTTTATTTATTTATTTTTTGTGTTGCTGAGGATTGAACCCAGTGCCTCACACATGTCAGATAAGGGCACTACCACTGAGCCACAACCCCAGCCCCTGCACATAATATTTTTAATACCTAGAATATCTCACAATATGTATTCATCAAGTTTACTTAAACATTCCCTTATTTTTAGCCACTTGGGTGGCTTCTGATTTTCACTGTTATAAATGACACCATATCGCCAGGCACTGTGGTGTACATCTCTAATCCTAGGAGCTTGGGAGGCTGAGTCAGGAGGATGGTGAGTTCAAAGCCAGCCTCAGCAACTTAGCTAGGCATTAAGCAACTCAGTGAGACCCTGTCTCTAAATAAAATACAAAATAGGGCTGGGGATGTGGCTCAGGGGTTGAGTGCTCCTGAGTTCAATCCCTGCTATCCCCAATAAATCAATCAATAAATATGGGCTGGGGTCGTTTGAGTCTCAGCACCACATTAAAATAAATAAAATAAAGATATTGTGTCCAACTACGTACGACTAAAAAAATCTAATAAATAAATAAACAAATAGATAACGCCATGTAGAACGTGCGCTACAGGCTGAGCTGTGTTCCCCCAAATTCATGTTGAACCCTAGCTCTTGAGGTGGTAGGATCTAGAAAGGAGGCCTTTGAGAGGAGGGTGAGAGCGGTCAGGAGGGTGGCCCCGGTGACGGCATAGGAAGGGAGGCCGGAGAGCTTGCCAGCGGGGGTGCGCATGCTCCCCCCATCCTCTTCTTTCCCCTCTCTCTCTAGCACTTGAGGTCACAGAAGAAGGTCCCCTATAGGCCAAGAAGAGGACCCTCACCAGCACCTCTCCATAGGTGCCCTGAGCTTAGACTTCCAGTCTCCAGACCTGCGAGAAATGCTCCTTCCTTCCTTCCTCCTTCCTTCTCTCCCTCTCTCTCTCTCCAGCCCCAATTCCCAAGCTTTAAACCACAGAGTCTGCGGTGTTTATTTTTTCTTAGGAGCTGGTGTCTCACTTCGTTGCGAGCCGGTTGCCAGCGCAGTGGCTGTCACAGGCACTAACCTACCACCACTAAGTGCAGACGCCCAATAGCCCCCAGCACCCAGGTCCAGCCCCTCCTGCCCAGCCTCCTGAGAGCTGGGAGTGCAGGTGCCTGCCACCAAGCCTGGCAACAGCGTGCTGGGCAAGCGCTCTGCCACGGAGCCCAGCCCCAGCCCCAGCCCCAGCTAGGGTGTTCCCTCAGGGCAGTCCAGGGAGACTACAACAACCTGTGTCATGTATGACTAAAAAGAATCGATTTTTAAAAAGAAAAAAAAATCTGTGTGTATAAATATATGCTTACGGAAATTATATAATCATTTTAATGATATCACATATTAGGAAGTACATATAATTTATGGATAATTCTTACATCACGTATCATTTCCTCAGGAGAGAGTTCTGGCAAAGGATAAGGGCCACGGACCTGGCTGACTCTTCCAAACCCACCTACACTCTATTTTTATTTATTTTTTTTCCTGTTTTTTATTTTTATACTGGGGACTGAACCCCAGAAGATCCTTAACACTGAGCCCATTTTATATTTCATTTGGAGACAGGGTCTCACTAAGTGGCTCAGGCCTTGCTCCATTGGCGCGGCTGGCCCGGGGCTTGGCTGTGCCTGAGCAGGCACGCACTCCTCGTCTGGGGGTTCCCACACTCTTTCTGAGCTGAGTGATCTGCTTTTCAGCTCTTCCCAGGAATCCCTGGTTGGCAGAAGCAGAAAGTTCCCCTTCATTCTCTGCAGAATCTGTCTTGCTCCAAGGCGCTTCTCAAGCAGAGAAAAGTACCTTTATGCAGATACCGCAGTTCCACTGGGTGCGGAAGCAGAACCCTTAGGGTTCTTATTTTGGGTTTCAGGCTAATGGTTTGTGGGAGTTTAGGAACCAGCTAGTTAGAAATAATCCTCCTAGCAGCCTGGTGACCCCCACTGCTCAGCCTTCACAGGGGTTCTCAGCTCTCGGTGCACCCCATGAGGCAGGGATGGGAAACGGGGTGCGGGAATGCGAGTAGCTTCACTAAGCCTCACAGACGGCTGTAGCAGAGCCCCTGCCTGGCAGGCTCCAGTGATGTGATGCTCCTCCCTGCCTCTCCAGAAGCTGCCAGAAGGGTCCAATAGCCTGAGACATTTTTCTGAAGCCCAGGGCTCTCTCAGTGTGGCAATGCCTCACTGCACCACAAGGGGGCTCCAAGTACCAGCCCGTGGCACTGGGAGCCTCCCGCAGGGAACCTCTTCCTGGCTTGCAAATGACCCTGAGCCCCGGGGCAAACCCAGGGGCCAGGAAACCTGAGGAGGCCAGGGGTTTCCACAGGAAAAGAAGTCAGCGGAAGTGTCTTTCCCAAACACAGTTATGACTGAGAAACCTGCACATGCCCCCTGCCAGACCCTGGGCAAGGCACCGTCCACTCCACCATCTCCTTCGCAAGTCCACACCCAGTCCTGCAGGAGAGGCACTGTCACCCGCCCCATGGCCACCTTTGGGATGTGAAACGCAGGGCCTAAGGGGGTGACTGCACGGCAGGCTGGGTCAGCCCGCCTGGCTCGGAGACAGGCATGGGGGGGGGGGAGGCGGCACCTGCAGCTGCTGCAGCTCACTCATGTTGCTCTCGCACTGCGCCATCATGTCCCGCATCTGGTTCTCGTGCTTGTGTTGCTGCTGCAGCCTCTCAGACTTCTGCCTCTTCTCCTCCTGCTGGGAGAACTGCAGGAGAGGGTGGAGCCTCAGGGCCAGCCTGGGGGGCTGCCTGCACAGCCCTGCCCAGCAGCACCCACTGCTCAAAGTCCTCTGCCTGGGTGGGGACCCGGCCCCTGCCCTTAAGGAGCCCCCAGCCTCCTGGTAGGGACCTGACAGGGCAATGTGACCAGTGCCAGGGCAGGTGTGCAGGCCCACGCCCAGGGCTCCTGCTGGAGGAGAGCAGAAGCTGGAGGCAGGGTGGTGACAGCCTGCAGCTCGCACCACGCTGCCTCTGTCCAGCGGGCTGATTGACCAGGGGGCTAAGGAAGCTTCCGGGCCATGGCTTGGTCTTGCGTGCCCTCCCAAGAGCTGTGCACATTTTATACCATCCCCCGATCCACAGAGGCACCAGGCCCTACCACGCTGGGCCGGTCCCAGCCCCACCTGCTTGATCTTGTCGCGCTGCTCAGCGGCGCTGCCCCCGCCGTTGATGTGCAGGCTCTTCTTGTACATGGCCATGCGCGTCTTGCCCTCGCTCCTCTGGATCTTGGGCAGCCGCGCCTTCTCCTGCTGCTGCCGCACCTTCAGCTGCTCCAGCATGCGCTGGTTGTAGCGCTGCATCTGCTCCCGCTCCTGAGGGGGACACAGGGACGAGCGGCTGAGGTCAGCTGAGCTCCCGACATGGTCAGAGGCCACCAGGCTCACCTGGGAATCCCAGGACCATGTGGCCAGGATGCTCAGCACAGCAGGGCTGGTGCTGGTTCACTCCTAATAGAGGGCATCTCCTGCACAGCCCCTGGCTTAGGTGGGCTGGACTTTACAAAACAGGCAATAACCTGCACTCAGCAGAAACCACAGTTTGCAACATGAACTTCTCTGGACTAGTGATATGCTGTCTGTCACACTCAGGATGCTGTCAAAGGCGCCGATCCATAGCTCCCCAGCAGCCACGTGATCTCCAGGGGCAGTGACCCTACCGCACACTACTGCAGGGCAGCGCCCCTGTGCTGGGACATCGAGGTCAAGTGTAGGGGGTGCACTTCCAACCTCCGGTGCTCTAACTTGTGGTGATGGACTCACAGGGTAAGGGAGGAGCATCGGCAGTGCTAAGAGTGCTGGATTCTCACCAGCTAATGGACGATGGTGCGCCAGCATCGCCTAATGTCTCAAAGCATGGCACACACTAGAGGGGACAGGTCACCATGATGTCACATATAAACTTACATGCACTCATCCGTTCATTGAGCAGTGCTGGGGATCGAGCCCAGGGGTGCTCTACTACTGAGCCACATCCCCAGCCCTTTTCATTTCCTACTTCAAGGCAGGGTCTTGCTCAGTTGTTGAGGCTGGCCTTGAACTTCTGATCCTCCTGCCTCAGCCTCTGGAGCCGCTGGGATTATAAGCATGTGCCACCACACGACTAAATTTATATTTTCAAGAGCCTTAACAATTTTGAATTTCCCCCTTCCCCTGATACCCACTTGCATTTCAGCAGTGCCCGGGTACCGGCTGCTCAGGAAGCCTCCTGACAGCATGCCGGCTCCATCTGTGCCCGAGATAGGGAATGGGAATCAACTTCAATGGCTGTGCATCCAGACCTTGGTTTATCTGACACTGTCCCTACTAAGGGGACTGAACCAAGACAACAGCACAGATGCAGAAGGCGCTCTGGTCACAGATCAGGGGCCCTTGCCAGGGCTGGGGGCTCTTCCCAGCAGAGGTGGCTTTAAGGGGAGCCCTGAAAGTCTTCTGAGAAAATGCACGGGAGAGAGGAATAGAGAAAATGGAGAGAGGGAGAGAGGACAGAGAGGAAAGAGGGAAAAGAGAAGGAAGTGTGAGAGAGGACAGGCACCATAGGGGCGACGGTTAGCGAGGGAGCTGCGGGGGCCATCTGCATCCCTGCGTGGTTTCCCGATCCCCAAGCCAGCACCCAACGGCCCTGGAGAACCTCCTGCAGCCTCACCACAGCCACACGGCTCCCCTGAGGGCACAGGAGGCGGCCACGCAGCCCAGCCTCACAGCCCCCAGACCTGCACAGGAAGCGGCCACGCAGTCCCCCTGCAGCCTGGCCTCGCAGCCCGCAACCTCCAGCTCCCCGAGCCTCACCTTCTCGTGCTTGCGCAGCAGCTGGTGCCGCTGGAGGAAGTACTGATCTTTGAGCTGCTGCTTCACCAGCTGGTGCTTCTCCTGCAGCTGGTGCTCCTCCATCTCCCACAGGGCTGCCTCCCGGTCTGCAGGGACACGCCACCCACCTCATGAGGTGCCAGAGGTCACACGCATCTTCCCCTCCTGCCCCCGTCAGGCCTTCTCCAGCTGATAGCCGGCCTGCTGAGGTGACGTGCCACCTCAGCAGACCATGGTGAGTCCTGGAAGCTTCCTAAGGGAGGACAGCCTAAGGGAGGACAGCTCCCAGCAGCCCAGCGCAGCAGGAAGGCCACGGCCAGGGTGCCCATGGGCGCGTATCTGGAGGGCTGCACCTAGTCAACGGTGCGTTGTTCATGCCGTGTCTCCATGCATCTCCCACAGAGGCCCTCCCATCTGCCCGTGACAGAAGCAGGGTACAGCACAGATGCCACATCCGCAAGGACACTTCCTCCCCCACATACAGTGGTGCCCTCTGGCAGAGCTGAGAACTGGGGCCTTGAGAGGCGCGTTGTTCTGAGTCAGAAACAGGAGAGCGGCCTGGCACCCCGCTGGGCTGGGATTTGGGGCGGAGAGAGAAGCTCTCTAGCCTCAGTTTCCACCTCTGCCAAACTGCTCAACTCTACGCAGGGGAGGAAACAGCCGCGGAGGATTTTTTGGTGGTGGTGGTGGGGTACCAGGGATTGAATTCAGGGGCACTCGACCACGGAGACACATCCCCAGCCCTATTTTGTATTTTATTTAGAGACAGAGTCTCACTGAGTTGCTTAGCACCTTGCTAAGTTGCTGAGGCTGGCTTTGAACTCATGATCCTCTTGCCTTAGCCTCCCGAGCTGCTGGGATTACAGGCGAGCGCCACCACGCCCGGCATGGAGGATTTTTAAAGTACAACCTGACTGCATCTCTGCTCCAGCAACGGGCTCAGAGGGAGACGCTGTGAAGGCAGCACAGGGCGAGAAGCGCACTGTCCTGAGGAAGAGGCCCTCCAGACCAGAGTCTGCTCGTGCCTTGGCCTGGGGCTTCCTGGCCTCGAGAACTATGAAAAATTAATTTCTGCTGTTTGTCAGCCACTGATCCCTGGTATTTTGTTAGTGCTGCCCCAGAAGAGGAGGCCACTCAACCCAAAACTAGTAACTGCGACATTTAGTTTCCTCGTCTATAAAAACTGGGATCACCGCAGGGCCTGGCTCCCAGGGGTAAGCTGAGGGTCCCCCGAGATCAGGTATGAAGGGGGACTAGCAATGGCCTGGCAGAGCGTCACTCAACACGCGAGGAGGAGAGGGGGCTCAGTACTGTCTCTGCCACCCCCTTAATGCAGCTCACTAGCGTACAGTGGCCTTGGCGCTGCGTCTGTGTCCTCCTCTTCCCTCTGCCCCTGACTTCTGGAACAGTGTCAAGTGGTGTGAGCAGGAACTGGCCCCTGGCCTTGTTGCCAATTTCAGTGGGGGCTCCTGACCTCACTGTGAAGGAAACCTCTGGCTTTTCTTGCCCAGGGCTGGGATGTCCAGCCACAGTAGCTCTGCCCAGAGGGCGCCGTCCCCGCCCACCTCGAAGGAGCTCCTGCTTCCTGTTGAGACACTCGCGCTCCCGGTCACAGATCTCCCGCCGGTTCTCCGCAGTGAGCCTCTTCATGGCCAGCTCCAGGTCTTCCTTCTGCTTGGCCAGGAAGTCCCGGTCCTGTGGGGAGGCGGGAGCGGACCTTTACCTGCCTCGGGCCTCTCACAGCTCATTCTGGTTCAGGAGGGACATCAGCAGGACCCGAGAAGCGCGTTTAAAAAACACGAGAGGGGAAGTCGAGGAGACCCAGAGACGCAGCAACCCACCAAGATGTGGGCTTTCTTTTGGATCTTGGAGCAAACAAATTGTTCACAAAAAGAAATGGTTTTCATGAAGCTACTGGTAAGGCAGATGCTGAGTGGATTGGAAAGAGATGTTGTTAGAAATCAGGGCTAATTTTTGTTTGTTTTTGGTCCCATGCACTCTACCACTGGGCTGTATCCCCAGAAGGTAGGAACTTGCGTCGGGGGCTATTTTTGTGATGTCTGAGATGTCTACAGGTATGATGTGATACGACATCTTAGATTTGAGTCAAAATGACACGGTAGGGTCAAGGAGTGAACGAGTGGACGATTATTTAGATTGAGTGGCAGGTATGTGGGGACTCACTACACCATTATAACCATGCCTGTCTACTTTCTTAACTACTGTTTCTAATTAACACGATAACTGTACACATTCAGGGGCACAGTGTGGTAATCAAGTTCATGTATTCGGTGCACAATCATCAGCTCAGGGTAGTTAGCATTTCCCTCTCCTTAAACACATATCACTTCTTTGTATTGGTATCCTGCCAAAATAACAAGTAAGAAAATAAAATTTATGTTTGAAAATTTTAGCCCAGGAGGGTGAGGCAGGAGGATGGCAAGTTCAAAGCCAGCCTGGGCAACACAGAGAGACCCCGACACAGAAAGACCCTGTCTTAAAATAAAAATAGCCAGGGCTGGGGAGGTGGCTTGGTGTCAGACTGTGTGCCTTGCATGCACAAGGCCCTGGGTTCCATCCAGTACTGGGAAAAAATTACTGGAACCCCATAAAAAGGAACTAAAAACCCCGACTACTCTTATCATCAGGCTAGCAACTGTCCAGGATGTATCAGTTCAAATGCATCCACAGCAACTGTGTGATTGTTCTACAGAAGTCATTAAGGAACTGAAGAGGTGCCTGCAACCCCGCTCACAGCGGCACAACCCACGAGAACCAAGTATTCACTGCAGAACAACGAACAAGCAGAGCGCGGTATCAGTTCACCACGAAATATCAGTCAGCCATAAAAAGAAAGGCTGTCACACGCAAGAGCCTCGTGGACCCCGAGTCCACTACGGACAAAGTCACAGAGACGGGGATGGGGTGTAGCTCAGTGGGGCAGTGTGTGCTGAGCAGGCACGAGGCCCGGCGTCCACCCCAGCACCATGCTGACAGACCAGCACGGGGAAGGAAAGGAGAGGGGGTTCCAGGCAGGGGGCGGGGACAATGGAGAGCTACTGTTTACTGGACAGGCTTTCAATTCTGCACTTAATGCCACTGGGCACTTCCTAATAGCAAAGAGGGCAAATTGTGCTATATGGATTTTACCAAATTTCAAAAATGACTAAAAAGGCCTCTCCATGTCACAATGTGTTTTAATGACTGAAAATATTTCATGGTATGGATATACCTTAACTTATTTCCCTAATAATAACCCGGTTATTCCCGGGTTTTCTCTATTGAAATGGTGCAGCTCTTCACTCTCTGGAATCCCAAAGTTTCTGAACCTGTGTGCTGACTTCCTCAGCAGCTCCAGGAGCAGAAAAGCCAAATTACAAGTTATGCGAATCTTTGAGGATTTTGAATATATATATATATATATATATATATATATATATATATATATATACATATATATATATATATAGTTATAGATGGACACAATACTTTTATTTTTTTTTAATATTTTTTTAGTTGTAGTTGACACAATACCTTCATTTTATTATTTATTTATATGTGGTGCTGAGGATGGGATTCAGCGCCTCCCGAGTGCTAGCTCTCTCTCTCTCTCTCAGAGCCTGTTGGCTTCACCCTCACCAGCCCTGTGTTTTAAAAAGTTAGTTTTAAAAAACTGACACATACTAACTGTACAAAGTTCAGGGGTGTAATGTGAAATTTCCATACATGTATGTTTTATGCAGTGATCAGGTCAGAATAATTATCTCCATCACCTCAAATATTTCTCTTTAGGGTGAAACATTGAAAATCCTCTTTTCCAGCTATGTTGAAATGAACAGCACATGGGTACTGGCTACAGTCCCCCTGTGGGGCAAAAGAACTCGCGATGTGCTCCTCTTACCTGATGGCTGACCAACCTCCCCCCTACTCTGCCTCTCTCCTGCGCGCTTTTCTGATCTTAGAGCCTAGGGAGGGTTCCAGGGTGTCCCAGAGAGAACGTGGAGTCTGAGTCAGACAGTTGAGGCCTTGCCTGCCCACTGTCACCTCTGCAATGTCACCTCTATGAGGCCAAGTGGGAAAACGAAGAGCCCTGGCCCCACGTAAGCCACAGACTCTGACCTGGTCATATGCAGAGCCTGTGTCAGGAGCAGAATGTGCTGAGACCCCAGCTGGCAGGGAACCAGGGCACTGGAGCAGGGGACGAGGGCAGGCTGCCAGGCTGGGGAGGGGCAAAGTGGAGCTGGAGGGGGAGGGAGTCTCATGGGCAAAGGGAACCACAGAAGATCTGACAACCTGGGAATTCCTGTGCTCACACGGCTGGGGTGAGAAGGAGCTACAGGGGAGCCACAGGAGGCATGTGTGTGTGTGTGTGTGTGTGTGTGTGTGTGTGTGTGTGTGTCCTGCTCAGGAGGCTTGGAAGGACCAGGGAAAGGAGGCTCAGGTGCGAGGCGCCCTCAGGATGGTAGGGCCAGGTCTGGGAGACAAGGGTCTAGACTCCCACGGCCCTCAGCAGGCAGAGGGGCTTGGGCTGGGGTGTCTGGGGGGTGGGAGCTCCCTCCCAGCAGGAGGGTGGCAGTCAGGGAGGGCGGCATGGGGAAGGGGTCAGCTGGGGGGACGGGCTGGCTGGCATTCAGAACAAGAGGCGGCCCCGAGGGACGGGCCTGGACAGGGAGGGCGGCCACCGTTCGGGCTCACTCACGAGAAGCTGCTTCTTCTGCGTGTGCTCCTCCATCTTCTGCTTCAAGCTCTCCTTCCGCTGCTGTCGGGGGAGCTTCTCCACCTCGCTCTTGGCCTGCAGACGGAGCGGCCGGTCAGAGCACTCCTGGTGTGGCTACAGGGCCAGCAGGCTACCGGCCAGGTGGCTCTGCGGGCCCAGCCCCCACCCACTCCAGCCACTCCTGGCCCTCAGGTGGCACCGCTGGCCTGGCCTGGCTGCAGCTGGCCCTGGCCCCCGGGCTCCTGGGCTCCCGGACAGGACAGCTGCCGTCTCTGGCTGCCTGGTTTCCATTCCCCTTCTTCTGGTGACGCACCTCATTTCCTTCAGGGAAGTTTTTCTCACACTGTCCCCTCTGAAGCCTTTTATTTTTTTTTTTTTAAATATATTTTTATTAATTATTGATGGACCTTTATTTATTTATATGTGGTGCTGAGAATCGAACCCAGTGCCTCTCACATGCTAGGCAAGCGCTCTGCCACTGAGCCACAACCCCAGCCCCCTCTGAAGCCTTTTATATATTTTTTCCTAATTGCTCTCAACATGTGAAATAATAATGTCAACAGAGACGCCGTCGATACCTGAGATGCCAATATCAACATCTGTATCAAAATGCCTAGCAAGCGCCTGCTCCCGGGGCTCCGGTTCCCTCCCCGAGCCTGAAGGCTTGCACCGTGGGCCGCACACAGGGCCCCGCTGGTGGAGCTGCATGTCTGTGCCCCTGGCCTCAGGACTGACTCTGGGTCAGCACAGGGCCCTGCAGGGCCAGGACATTCCAGGACGTTTGCTGGGACAACTGCCTCCTCTGTGGGGTGCTAAGTTGTGGGCAGGTGGGTCTTGTGGTGCCCTGGAGGCCCCGGGGGACAAAGGCAGTGCAGGGAGGCAAGGCCTTTTCCTCCTCTCGGTCCCTGACCTGCCTGGTGACCTAATAGAGGAGGTGGCTAAATGTCCATAAGAAACCACATGCTTCCAGCCCCAGAACGAGGCACCAGGGCCTAAGCACACTGGAGAAGTGGGCTGAATCCCAAAGAGAAGAAGGCAGGACCAGGAATCCTTACGGCTGTGTGTGGACGCACACAAGTCTCTGGTTCAGCCCTGAGCTGGGCACCAGTGAGAGACAAGCAGAGCAGGAGAGCAAAGGCTTTGGAAAACTAAAGTAAGATCGAGACTCCACCCACAGCAGGGAAGTCCTGAGCTGCTGCTAAAAAGAGAGAGAAGAAAAGAAATTCATATGGTTGTGAGATGTCTGCAATGTAACTGAAGCATTGTAATATAAACACTAAATAGGTGCTCAAAGAGTTAAAGGAGTATATTAAAACACCCTAGAACAACCACTAAACATACATAGATGTATCCTTTAACCAAATAATGAATTAAAATAAGATATTAAAATACACCTGTAATCCCAGCAACTCAGGAGGCTGAGGCAGGAGGATTACATGTTCAAAGCCAGCCTCAGCAATTTAGCAAGGACTTAAGCAACTTAGTGAGACCCTGTCTCAAAATTTAAAAAAGGGTTGGAGATGTGGCTCAGTGGGTAAGTGCCCCAGAGTTCAATCCCTGGTTTAAAACAAAACAAAACAAAAAAAAAACCAACTTTCCAAAAAGTTAACAAATCAAATCTAATAATATATATATATATAAAAGGAAAATAACATAACAGGCTTATCCCAAGAATGCAAAAATAGTTCAACATTTGAAAATCAAACAATTCAATTTATAATACCAACAAACCAAAGAAGAAAAATCAATCATATCAGCTGACATATGAAGCTATTCAACCAAAGACAGCATCCCTTCATGAAAAAACCCATTAGTCAAGTAGGAACTTCCTTAACCTGTCACAGAACTTCCACAGAAAACTGCCAGTAGCCTTGACCCTATGATGAAATACTAAAGCCTTTCCCTTAGGACTGCCTGGACAAGGCCAGGGTGTCTACTGACCTCTCTATTCAACACCCTACTGCAAGTCCAGGCCCGCCCAGAAAGCATCAGAAAGCTCATAAATTTAAAAGGAAGAAATAAGACAGTTTCTGTTTACAGACTGTCTATATGAAAAAATCCCTAGGAATCCGGGAAAGTTTTTTTAAACAGATACTAGAATAAGTGAGTTTAGCCAGGTTGCTATTTACATAGCATTTACGTTGTACGGGGTATTACGAATACTCTGGAGATGATTTACAGTATATGTGGGGATGTCTGTAGGTTCTAGGCAAATATGTCCTCTTACATGAAGGACTTGAGCATCCTTGAACTCTGGCACCCCAGGGGGTCCCAGCGGCAGTCCCCCAGGACAATGAGCAATGCCTGCATATTTAATGAATGACGTGGTGAAGCCCTGTGCCCAGCCCACCTGGAATTACAGAGGCAGCTCCACCAAACAAGAGAACCACAGAATCCAAGCAGGCAGGCTGGCCATGGGAGGGACAGAACAGGGGTCTTACTAAATGGCCATGTCCTCCCTCCTTGAAAAGCCACCAAAGCAAAGCCAGGCCTTATCTTTCCATGAAAATTTTTAGAAGAAAACCCCTGCCCCCCCCCCCAAAAAAAAAAAAAAAAAACATTTAAAAACCCACGCACGTCTGGGGCTAGGGATGCAGCTCACCCGGCATGCCCAACGTGGCAAAGCTAAAGGAACCCTGCGGCTGAGCGGAACCCCAAGGATCAGACGCCACCTGGCCTGAGTTCCATGATAGACTTAAGTCCCTGGCTGGATCCTGCCCAGGGGAAACTCCACCACCGTGGGGCTCGTGCACAGATGCTGGGGCCTGCAGCCAAGAGGGGCAGCTTCTCTCCTCCCCCACAGCCCTGAGCACTGCTGCCCACCTCCACAGGGGGCCTCAGGCACAACATGGATAAGCACCACTAAAACAAATCAATATTCATGCAAAAAATCATGAATAAAATCCCAACATTTTAAATAGAGACAGGACCCAGCTCTGTGGGGGGGCCCAGTCCCACGGCCCCCTCACCAACACCAGCCTCGTCAAACACGGCCTGTGTTGTAACAGCCAATACTCTGTGTTCATGAATGTTTTGCATTCATTTTTACTTTAAAATACAGCATTAGAGCCTTTTTTAATCTTGATTGCTGAGGTTTTTGAGGGGTGTGGGCTGCTGGGACTGAACCCCGGGCCTCAGTGTGCTAGGTCAATGCCAACACTGTGCTGAACCCCCATTCCAATTACGAGTGTTTTGAGGCCCCTGATGTCCAGCCAGACCCTTGCTCGTCTTAGCCAGCCCTGTCCTGCTCTGTGTGGCCTTGGCTCCTGCAGCCAGTGGCCTGGGGCCCTGGGAGGCACCACCTGCAGCTCCCCCAGTGCAGTCTGAGACCACGGTGAGCTCTGGGAGGCTGCTTGTCCCCTGCTCTCTGCTGAGATTGGGACTGGTGTTCCTGTGTGTGTGTGTGGGGGGGGGGGGGGGGCTGTCTTCCTCCTTCCTTCGAGTCTCCTGGGGCCCAGATGCGCTCCTGCAGGGCAGGCTGGGAGAGGGGCCCCCTGCCACCTCCCCCTCCCCTTCCGACTGGAATAGAAAGAGGCGGAAGGGAGGAGGGCGGCGGGTGGAGGACCCCTGTCGGCCGCCCTCACCTATTCCAGGAACAGAGCTCCCTCCTGGGCCACCACCTCTTCTTCCCTGCTCTCCCTCAGCCACGGCTGACCTGGGAGGACACAGAAGGAGCTGCCCAGGCCACACGGCAAGGGCCTGGCTGCGAGTGAAGCCAACAGGGAGGAACGCAGAGCCCAGAAAAGATGTGGCTCCTGAGGGCGCAGCTGGAGCACGGACTTGGACACGCCTGGCACATGGGCTTCCCAGGCAGGCAAGCTCCCCGCAGCCCCGTTGAGAGGTGAGGCTGAGATGGGGTTTCCCATTTCTCAGTCACTCGCAACAGAGGGGGTGGTCCTGACGCTCCCAAACAGCCTAACCCAGCAGCAGCGTCACCTCTCTCTTCATCAGTCTGAGCTGCTCTTGGAACCTGGCGTAGTCCCGTTCCTGCTCCAGGCGGATCCGCTTGGCCTCCTCCCGGCGGCGCACGGCATGGTCTTGCTCCATCTTCTCTACCTGCTGCTTTTGCTGACGCTCCAGGTTCTCCAGTTCTGTGTCAAAGAACTTCTTCTTGGCCTGGAAAGAGCAAAAAATTTAGAGAAACTCAACAAAGCCACTTTATACCTAGGAGGAAGACCGAGGGAGTTGGGCTCAGGCCCAGGTTTGCATTCTAGCTCTATCACCTCTTTTCTGTGTGACCTAGAGCAAGTTGCTCAACCTCTCTGAGTCCCCATTTCCTCATCTCCAAAAGGGAGACCAGACCACTGACTTTGCAGCCTTACGGCCTGATGAGATCGGGAAGGCCTCGAGAACCAGGCAATGGTGGTGAGCTGCTCCCCACTGCCTCAACCGTCCCCCCTGCAACCTCCGCCTGAAGGAAACAGGGAGGCGAGCCGCACCCAGGGCCCGCTCTGCCCGCGCTCACGTGGCTCTCCTGCTCAAAGCGCCTGTGCAGCTGCTCCAGCTGCAGCTCGTGCTTGCTGCTGAGCTGGCTCTGGTTGCGATGCTCCTCCTTCTGCAGCAGCCGCAGCTCGCGGAGTTCCTGGCGCCTGGGGGAGTGAAGCGGGCACAGATTTGCCAAGAGAAAGTGGCCTCAGATGACAACGCTCACAGCTTGGGACGGGAGGGCTGGATCATGGTGCAGAGTCACATGTCCGAGGCACAAGGGGGACTCAGGTTCCATCTGTCACCTCTGGTGGACCAGGCAGGAGTGACCTCAATACACACAGAGGGCTCGGGGACCGAAGGGAGGGTGCAAGACCCAAGCTCACAAGGGCGACACAGGGCACGGGGCAGGGCACCTGGGCGGGCAGGGAAGGAAATGCAGGAGAAACTGGAAAATCACCATGTGGACAGGCAACCTAAAGGAAACAGCAGCCACATGAACGAGACGACCCTCCACATGCAGCTGGTGCTCTGGAGGCAGGCTGGCAAACGCACCCATGCCTCTGATGTGGCAGCTCCATTTCCAGATGGAATAAGGGTGCTGCACTCCCTCGGTATCCACAGGTGTGGCCCCAGGACTCTGCACCTTGCTCAGACTCTGCACGATGCCCAGGTCTCCCGTGTGAGCCGGTGCCGTGTCCCCTATTACCTGCGTGTGTGGTCTCGCCCACCTTCACCATCCCTAATCTGACTCCCGAGACCACGTGCATGCCATAGAGAGCTGGTATACAGAGTCGTCTGGGGGATGGTGACAAGAAAAAATAAGCCCGTGTGTGTTCAGGGCAGATGCGATTTCCCCCCAACTATTTTCAATCGGCTGCTGGTTGAATCCGCAGAGAGGAGCTGTGGACACGGAGAGCCGGCTGTTTGCTAAGTTAGGAACGAAGTCCTCCAGCATGGGTCTGAGTGAGAAAGCTAAAGCATGTCACATGATGGAGTCCCAAACAAGCATGGAACATCAGATTTTAGAAATATTTCACTAGGGGCTGGGGATGTAGCTCAAGCGGTAGCGCGCTCGCCTGGCATGCGTGCGGCCCGGGTTCGATCCTCAGCACCACATACAAACAAAGATGTTGTGTCCCCCGAAAGCTAAAAAAAATAAATATAAAAATTCTCTCTCTCTTTTTTTCCCCCTAAAAAAAAAAAAAAAAAAAATTAAAAAAAAAAAAGAAATATTTCACTAGGTGGGAAAATGTCCAGGAAAATAATAAACCCTCTGCCCAGACCAGGGGTGACCTCTGGGAGCAAGAGTGCATGCTGCCGAGGGGACCGATGTGCACTCCTGTCCTCGGAGTGGCAAAGACACAGGCTCTGTGCCTGGTGGGTGGGCCCTGGAAGGGTTACACCACAAACACTAGCAGGGGCTGGGCGGGACGCCTGGTGGGAAAGGGTAGGACGTTTTTCAGTCTTTTTTTTCTTTTGAACCATCACAATGTATGACCTATTACAATAAACATGTGACCTAAACCACACAGTCTGCCTTAATTTTGTAACATATATCCCTGGTGCTGGATGAGTCTACACGCGGAGAAAAAAACGGGTGGATGGCCCCATGTGAGCCCCGCCTCTTTCTGAGCAGCCATCACAACATTGCCATGTAGGGTTTATGTCATCAGAAGAGAAAAATCTTGGGCCTCCTGACTGTGACTCGTGGGTTCCCTGGTGGCCCCTTGGGAGCGGGGTCCAGTAGGCCTATGTCCTATCATAGTGGCATCTACAGTGTGCACCACAGTGGGTCCATTGTGCGGCCACGCTGGCCCCGGCAGGCCTTATGCAGGGTGCTGCAGGCTGCCAGGGCTCACTGTCTGTGCCAGCGACACACAGTAGGGCAGCACGGCCGAGCACAGGCTCTGGGTGGGGGCCTCCTGGGCAGTCACAGTCCTTGCAAGCCTCAGCAGCCGAGCCTGTGAAACAAGGTTGGTGACCCTCGCTGGCAGGTTCTTCGAGGGCTAAGTGCAGTGATGCCCATTGCGTGCCCGCCTGGCCCATGGCGAATGCCCTGTACGTGGCCACTGCCTCAGGGAAGATGAGGGGGTGAAGAACAGCCCCCAGGTTCCGGGCAAAGCGAGACCCTGCCCTCGGCCACGGAAGGGCTTCTGTCTGAGCACGTGCTTTTCTGGAAACGGAAAAGGTGGGAGGTGACCCTCCAGAGTGTCAAAGAAATGGAAGTCCCGTCTCAAGAGAAGGGGAGTTCCAAATACAGGAGCAAGAGAGGTGGGCAGCTGGTCCCCCGACACCTCCCAGGCCCTCACGTTCTCATGGGGCGTGGCCAGGCAGCAGGGCCCTGGATGGAAGGGACCAGCACAGGAGGCTTCAGGGAGGCAGGGAGGGAACTCCACAGAAGGCTCAGCCCAGAGGGGCAACAGACACTGGGCTGCCTGGTTCACAATCCTCCGAGGGCCCCATCTTTCCTGGAGGCTGAGGTCCAGGTGCGCAGAGGTGGGGCCACACCAGCAGAGGGCGGTGGGAGCCTCCCACACTCCAGGGCCTGGCCTGGGCCACAGGCCACAAAAGGCCAACGAGAAAAGCCTGGTTCTGCGTGAGCTAAGCGCCTCAGTCTCTCCTTCCCTGAGGGGCACGCAGCAGCTCTGCCTGGGGACAGGCCGGTGCCAGGTGGAGGGCAAGGCTTCCCCATGGGGCGAGCCAGGCGGGAACCTCAAGCCAGGAACCTAAGCTGCCCAGAGGGGCAGTGATGGAAACCCAGCTCTGAGAGTGTGGGGTGTTATCTACCAAGAGCCCCCAGATGCCCCAACCCGCAGAGACAAGGACACCTGTGCGTGTGCGCCCACCAATGCCACAGTAAAAAGTATCCTCCCCCTGGCTCAAGATGGGAGGATACCCCCAGATCATCCCAAACTGCTTCTGTTACTCAGGAACGTCTGTGGCCTGTAAAACATGTGAGTGCATCTGGTGCACTAGAGAATTTCTCCAAACCAACAGTGACCTTACCCGATAGAAGCCTGGCCTCAAGAGAGCTCTGCGCTCTCCACCTGCTGACCCCACCCCCAACTTCACCAGCGGCTCTGGGAAGCCACAGGGCCCAGGGGATCCCTGCAGGAATTCTCAGACAGACAGAGCTAGATGGAATCTCAGCCCAGCCTTCCCAGCTGGGATCCCCAGGGCACGTAACAGACCTGCCCAGAAACAGCTTCTCCCTTAGAGAACGTGGGACTAGGTCTCCCTGAGGTGGCGGTTGGGGCGGAGCAACCGAGAAGTGCAAAGATGGTTTCTTTGCAAAAATAGCCTCACAACCTCCTCAGTCCAACCTCTCTCTAGCTCTGTCCCAATGCCTCCAAAATGCCACCACCCAGCCTGAGCCCAGAGCCTGCGGGTCCTGCAGGGTCTCCTGGTCCCTGGAAGTCTTCCCCCCCTACAGCCTACATGTGAACAGCTGCCACGGCAACCTTCCAAAAGGGCTGTAAGAGCTGGCCACTGCCCGGTCATGTCCATCCCGCTGTACCCAGGGTAAAGGCTCCTGCTGCCCCAACTCACAGGCCCATGACCTGGGTCCTGCCAACCCTCAGACACAGCCCTCCAACCCCACGGTCCACACTCCAGCCCTGTCCTCCCAGATCCTAAGACAAACTGAGTGGCTACCCCTTGGGACTTCTGCAGTTGGAACTATAGCCCCCTGTGCTCCCAGCACCCTACCCCCTGGCCCAGCACATGGCTGGCTCCTCCCACCCTTTGGGATTGGCTCTGGGGGTTTCCCTAGGAGCAGGTGCTCACTACCGTATCACCCATTTCTTCCTTCTCAGTGTGAACCACAACCAAGAATTATTGCGTGTAGACCCACGAAGTGTGAGTCCTATCAGGGCAATGGCCTCACTTACCCTGTCTCCATCTGGCGGGTGGGTGGATGGATGGACAGGTAGGTCAGTGGAGAGATAAGTGGGCAGACAGATGGTTGGATTGGTGGGAAGATGGATAGTTAGGTGGATGAATGGATGAATGATAAATGGGTGATTAAATGGATAGATAGATGATGCATGGTGAATGGAAGGATGGATGATAGATGGGTGGGTGGGTGGCTGGCTGGATGTTTGGATAGGTGGATAGAGGCAGGGGTGGGTAGGTGGGTGGATGGTTGGATGGAATGGATATTGATGGAATGGATGGATAAATGAATGAATGGATAGATCAGTAGACAGATGGGTAAAAGGATGGATAGATGGATATAACAAGTAGATGGATGATGGATGTTGGGTTAAAAATGGATGGAAGGTAAATGGATAAATGGATGGATGGGTGGGCAGGTGGGTGAGTGGATGGATAGATCGATGGATGGACAGATGGATGGATGGATGGATGGGTGGGTGGATGGTTGGGTGGATGGTGGATGGATGGATGGATTGATGGGCAGATGGATGGGTGGGTGGGTAGTTATGCATGGATGAGTGAATAGATGATGGAATGCATGAATGAGTATATGGAAGGATGGGTGAATGGATGGCTAAATGGGCAGATGAATGGATGGATAGGTGGATGGGTTGGTGGATGGGTAGATGGTAGACGGGTCAATGGATGGGGAAGCACAGGATCTCAAGCAAAATCAGTTTCCTTTCGTTCCTTTGTTTCCTCCATTCCATACCATAGACAGACAGCCCTCTCACCCAAGGACCAGTGCCCCCCCCCCACTGTAATGGCTGGGTAGATGGGCGGGTGGATGAGTGGGAGTGTGAGTTGGTGGGTAAATGGGTGGATGGGTGGATGGATGGATCCTGACCCTGTTCCCACTGACAGTGGCCCTGCCCGGCTTGCCTGAGGAATCTCATCTCCTCGTCCTTCTTTTCGTCATCGCTGATGATCTTGGAGGTGGTGATGCTCACCTCGACGCCATCCACCACAAATTTGCGTGTCCGCTTCAGGGTTTTGTTATGCAGCCTTGAGTCCTGGTCGGGAGGAACAAGGTGATGCTGTTTCAGTGAAGGGTCCATGGCTCATGGGGTGAGGCCGCAGCCCTCCTGCCCCCAGCCTCTACCCCAGGAGGACGCGGCTGCCTGCTGTCCCCTGGGCCCTGTGCTTCTGAATCTCATTCCTTGCCTGTCCAATCTCAGCCTGCAGAGCCCCAGGGCCCTTCACCTCATGCTAGCATGCACAAAACGCAGGACACGAGATCAGAGAGAGTTGTCCTCTGTGACCTGTGACAGTCCCTTGTCTTGGTTAGCTTCCTCCACCATCCAAGGAGGAGGAAGACACTACTTGCATTCCAGGGTGCTTACAAAGATTTGATGAGACCAGGCAGGGGCACGGGGCAGTGCCTGCTCATGGCAACCATTCAGTATATTATGGTCACAGGCCATATCCCTGTCCACAATGCCAGAATCCAAAGGAGCCCAGAGATCCAAAGGTGGTTTTCCTAATGGATCTGGCAGTGAAACCTCACCTGGCCAGAACCCCACTGGCTGCCCTGCTTGTCAGAAGCTGCCGTGAGATTATTCCTGACCTGTGTCTATGGCTGTGAATGACTGCATTTCACCATGACTGCCGACGGCGCTGCCCGGAGGTGTCAAGTGGTATAACAAACGGCATCCTTGGGAGTGCTCAGTTCTGACTCAGAGCAAGGCGTGGGGTTTGTGCCGGCCTCCTCCTGCCTCCTGCCTTTTGGCTGGCTTCCCTTCCTGGCATAGCCTCACCCAGCCTTTGCAACACAGCTGGGGGCCTTCCAGCCCGGGGGGGCCGTGTGAGCCAGGTGGTCTAAGTGTGAGCTGGGCCCTTCGTTTCTGAGCTGAGTTTTCTGCTCACTGGGTGGAGAGTGACAGGACCGGGCTCCTCTCTCCTGCGTGCTGCCACCCAGTATCCTCACCCAGGGGACCTGGACAGCCTGCCTAGAACCATAGCACCCGACTTTCATCTCTCAACAGTGTTCAAGCCCCCAAGTTGCAGGACTCCATCCAAGATGGCTCAGAGTAGCCGGGGACAATAAAGGAGCAGGAGGGAGAGTGGAGGGAGGAAGAAGCCAGCCATAGCTTCACATGACACTGCTTCTGCCCCTGGGGCCCCCATCCCTGCAGTAACAGGCTCCTGGCCACACCAAGGGGCAGCCAGTGGACTCTTCTCGGCTCCCTGACTCACTGTGGCCAACTGAGAATGTTCTCAACAACCTGGAGAAGAGGCGGGAGACCCTGCTCTAGCTGCGTCAGTTAATTAAATGAAACCTTAACACTTCCAGGAAGGGACAGGAAGATGACGCTTCTAGATAAAAGCTGCTGTCCATACTTGGGTGGTGACAGTTTATAACAGCCTGCTGTATACTCTGTGAGGGACCAGAAGGGACGAGCTCAAAGGCCCCAAACATGAAGAAACCACAAGGAGCTACTGACTTGGTTCGTGCACGCGGATCGCACACACTGTCACCTGCAGCCGCGAGGGTGCACAGTCACATGTCAATGAAGAGAGGCAAAGGCCACTCTCCGCTCGTCTCCTGCTGGAACTGCAATTTCTTTCTGTTTCTGGCCCCACCTCCAGCCAGGCCCCAGAGCCCAGGAAGACAGCCCTGAGCCCCTTCCCTTTCACAGACTCTCCCCCAATCCGCTGGATGACCCAGGCGACCCCCAAGCAAGACAACTTCCACTTCTGGAACTCTCATTCCCTACCGTTACCAGGGCCTTTAACCAAACTTTAAAATTTGAACCCAAACCAACTGCTTAACATGACCATGTCCCACACTGAACCCAGAAATTGGGGGACTTAACTATGAAGGGAACTAAGATCTTAAAGAACGATCCTCGCCAACCATTTCAGAGGGAAGGTGCAAGGCTGTGGGGGCACCAGGCCCTGGGCTGCACCCTTAGCACCCAAATAAATAAAGTAAAAAACCCAAAGTGGAGGCGGCCACCAAATGCCTTGGCACGTCCCTCCTGCTCCAAGCCCACCATGTGACTGACAGGGCATTACCTTAAGGGACAGCGAGCCCGTCTCTCTGTTCAGGGAGAGGTCGGTGGACAGGGAGGTGCTGTAGTCCATGCTCTCAGAGGTGGACAGGCTGCTGCTGTCCGAGGCCCTGTTGGCGGGGCCCGGCGCGGCCTGGGCAGGGAGCTCTAGACTGCCGTTGACCAGCTTCTCCCCGCCCAGCGTCTCCAGGGCGCTGCTGTTGGGCCGGCTCTGGCTGGCCTTTTGAGATCTGCTGGCTGCAGGACTGAGGTCCCCAGCCTGGTCCTTGGCTTGCTTCTCCTCGGCTACCTGGATTCTGGCATCCATTGACACTGGCCGGGACTTTCGGAGGGGAACAGACATCGCGAGGCCATTCTCATTTGCAGGGCCCCCGCCTGGAGGGCTGAGGGTTTGGAGGGATCCGTCTGCAGAGGGCTGGCTGCAGGGCCCATTCCCACTGTCCTGAGGCTGGCTGGTTGGCAGTGGGGCCGAGGATGGTTCCTGGGGGGACTTGTCGGCCCCCAGGCTCAGCTGACTCGCCTCAGAAGACTCCTGCGTGTGGTTCCCCAGGGCCTGGAAGAAAAGAGTCAAGACCTTGCTGCCAGATGATGCAGGAGTCAGGGATACAGCGGGGCAGGAAGGCCAGGTGTCCGCAGGGGGAGAGGCCGGGCCAGGAGAGCGGGCAGGGAGCCTTCTAAGCTGGTCCCCCATTCCCTGGTAATAAAAGAGTCCTGCGGTCAGGAGACTCCTGCCCCTCAGCTTAGCTTGATTTACTAGCTGCTCTTCCTCCAGGAGGAGAGGCTGCTGTGGGCAGCTGCAGCGAGGGCCCAGCAGCTACTCTGCTCTGGTCAGCTGTGACACCGAGGACACGCACACACACCCCCGCTCGTGGCCAGACCTTGCGACTTCTCAAGAGGCCTTGGAAATCTAGACTTTTACATGACATCTCTCCATGTCCAGATGGCAACTAATTCAGATTTTTTTTTTTTTAATGACATTTAGTCCAAGTCTATCCAGGGGATGGGTCCAGCCTTCTAGTCACTTATATTTCAGCCTTTTTGTGGGTTGGAAAGTACTGGAAATGTTGCTAGAGTGAAGTAGAACATTCAAATTTGTGAATAAAAAATAAATGCCCAATTTGGGTGTGGCAGCACATGCCTGTTATCTCAGCAACTCTGGAGGCTGAGGCAGGAGGATCCCAAGTTCAAGACCAACCTCAGCAAGTCCATGAGGCCCTAAGCAACTTTGTAAGACCCTGTATGTGGCTCAGTGGTTAAGTGTCCCTGTGTTCAATCCCTAGTACCAAAAATAAATACCCAAGGGGCTAGACGGAGGGTCCTAGGGGTAGGGTGCCAGCCCATCACGGGCAAGACCCAGGGTTCAATCCCCAGCAGGCAGGCATGAATGAACAAACAATAAAATGTCCAGCTGGGTGAACAGTGAGCACCCGCACAGCCACTCTCCAGGTTAGGAGGGGACCTACCATGTCCCCCTTCCTGCTCTTCCCGGTGACAATCCCCTCCCTCATCTTGACACAGTCACCATCCTGAGTATGACTGCCAAGTGCTACAGGTGACCCCTGCATCTCTCTGACCTGGGCACTCTTGGTCCTGTGGCCTCTGGTTTTTGACCCTGTACAGGCAGCTAGTGGAAGCAACTCCAGTCCACTTCCTACTCAGTGCCCAGCACAGAGGTCCAAAAATTCAGATGGTCACCCTAACACCACGGCCCAGCCCTGCCTGAAGCCACCCATGGCTCCTGCTGTCCTCAGGATGAAGCTCAGCCTTCAGTCTTGGGAGAATGAGGCCAGGTGTGACCACCTTCTGCCCGCCCCACGCCTCGCTGACCAGGCGTCCTCCTGGAGCCTGGCCACTGGGCTTCTGCTCCCTGTGAACACCCAGCCTCACCCTATCAGCTCAGCCAGAATCCTCCAGCCCACACCTCGGTCTTCCACCTGTAAGATGGGTCACACTTGGTTCTCTCTGTCAATCAGGGGCGCTGTGACTGTGGTCACCAGGTTGATTCCACTTACTGTCCCTACATAAGGCTTCTCTTCTAGTGAGGGTTCCCACCAGCCTCAGGCTCCCTCCTGGGACTTGAGAAAGTCACCTCATCTTTCCTAGCACAAGGTGGTGGCCGGCTCTGTCTGCCAACAGGCAAGTCCAGCTTCTGTCTCCCTAGGCACGTAGGACAACCTGGACGGCCAGTGCCCCCTGGAAAGTGTCTCCCCATGAGCCCCACGTGGGATCTCAGAGCTGCAGCGCAGGACAGGACAGGATTCGGCCTGCAGATGCATCAGGCTGGCTCAAGGGGTGTTTTTTGCTTTTTTTTTTTTTTTTTAATCAATTTAAATCTGCTTTAATTTCTATTTAAATTCAGCAAGTGCCAAAGCTACAAATGGCTTACAAATGTGCCAGAACACTGGTCCCCTTGACACTCAGGACAGCCATGCGGGGTCCAGGATGGCCACAGCCCCTTTATCCCATGCGCCGTCTCCTCCACCCAAAGTGTGTGGAAAAGCCCGGAAGCAATGACCCACTGCCAGCTTCTCACTTCATGTGAGAACCCAGCCTCCTGGCCTCTCCGGAGGGCCTTCGGGAGGCCTGTGCCCTGCTGCCTCCCCCGCCCAGCGTCTGGCATACCTGGCCAGGGGTCTGCGGGCCATGGAGAAGCAGGACGGGATGTCCAGCCTGCCTCCCGCGGGAGTCTGCTGCTGAGACCCAGTCCCTCCAGTCCCTCCCGTCCCTCCCCGGCCCTGGGTTCTGGACTCACGGGGGCAGAGTCCACGACATCCTCCTCTTCTCCCTCGTCCCTGCCATCTTCGATCTCCTCCATCACCTCGGCCTTGGCCTCGGCCACCAGCTCCCGCAGGGCCTTGTTACTGGTGACGTTACTGACGAAGGGATGCTGGGGACAAGAGGCACTGGATTAGATCCACCTGGCGCTGGGCGGGGAGCGGGCAGCTGGGAAGGGAACCCCGGGCATCTCCAGGCCCTGCACAGGGGTGGGGGGCAAACCCCAGCTATGGCACCCCAGCTGCGTGGCCCTGAGCAAGGAACCTCATCTCTGAGGTGGGGACAATGATGCCGAAGTCACAGGGAGGACACGAGGATGAAATGACAGGACGCATGTCAAAAGGCCCAGGCCAAAGCAGGAGCTCAACCATTGTGGTGGTGGTGGGGGGTTAATGGAGGGTTAATTTTGAGACAGGGCCTCTCTAAGTTGCCCAGGCTGGCCTCAAGCTTGCAATCCTCCTGCCGCAGCCTCCTGACATGCCGGGACGACAGGTGAGCACCACTGCACCAGGCCTGAGAGGTGTTAATACACAGCTGCACAAATACCCCACACGCGTATTTTACCAAGGTATAACTTACACACAGGAACGCTCACAGACTGCCAAGCGCCATGACTTTTCACATGTGTGGAACCACCCCCAGGTAGAGATGTTGAACATTTCCATCATTCTGGAAAATTCCCTGGCCTGTTCAACAGGTGGGCTGGTTTCCCTCGCCTATTGTCCAGCCTGAGAGACTCTCACATGCTGTCACCTGTTTTTGTCATTGTTCCTTTTGCTGTTTGTTTTTTAGTGAGTGTGTGCGTGTGTGCGCCTGTCTTGTTGTGCCGGGTTGTTTCCCATTTGGGGCAACTCAGAGCTGAGCTGCTATGGACATTCCTGCAAGTGCCACCCTCAGGGGGATATGTGCTTGGTTTTAGATAAGGAACACAAACGCTCAAGGTAGAGGGCAGTGAGTCCCCTCCTGGGCTTCCCCTCCACGCATCTTTAAAAGTTGAGTGCTCTTCCTCGGACCTTGTGGAACACCAGGACGAGTGGTCTGGGACATTAAGCCTGCAGGTCTCCTGGGGAGAAGCCCACCTCAGGTCCCACCCTGTGCTCAGGTGCAGCAGGCTGGGGGTCCTCCCGCTTCACACTCCCCAGGGTGGCTGGGAAGCCGAGGGTGAGGCAGGTGCATCCTTAAGTTGGAAGCTGCTTTTGGAACTTATGGGAAGGCTCTGGAGAAACTCACCCTTCTGACCATCAGCAGTGTTCGGAGTAGAGGGGACGGGTCAGCAGGATGCTGGGAAATAGTTAAGTGACTGGAGAATAAATTTCTCACACCTTAAAAACACACTCGGGACCACAAATCACTCTTATCTGTTTGCTCTTTGAAGCAGACCATTTGGGCTGGGCTCTCGCCTAGCGGGTGCCAGGCCCCGGGTTCCATCCCAGGTACTGCAAAAATAACTAACTAAATACATAATAAATGGGATCATCGGGGGACGGACACGAGGCAACACCCCATTCAACCTGTTCTCTGAAAGCCCTGTCACTTCTTTTAAAGAGCCATCGCTCACATTTTCCTCATCCAGTCTGACTGCTGCATCCACATTAGCGCGGCTTCAAGAGTGGCCTATTCCTGGCCCTCTCCCCTGCCCATTCGCTCACTGACTCATCCATGGCCCACAGTGTGGCCATGTGCCAAGCACTGACACAGGCTGCAGTCCTGCCCAGGGGAGACAGAGGCAGGTAACCGATGACAAGCAGCACCAGGTGTGAAGTCTCGGGGGCCCTGGAGGGCGGGGGGTGGGCCAGGGAAGGGCCCCAGGAATTCCAGGCAGAGGGAGCGGCAGGTCCACAACCCTGCAACAGGGCTGGGCCTGGGCTCCGGAGGAAAGGCCAGAAGGCCGGGTGGAGGGAATGTGGGAATAGGAGGGCAGAGCTGAGGCAGGACAGGTGGTACCTGCCGCACGCGCCAAGGCAGACACTGGGATTTCACTTTCAGAAGCCACTGTCACCCACTAAAGATGTCACTCTGGCCACTCTGAGGCCTGTGACCACAAAGGCCTGGAGCAGGGTGTTAACAAGGGTTTACTGATCATGGGTGGCGGGGCAGTTATGGGTGTGGCCGCAGACCCCAGAGCCCAGGCCCCGGGACAAACCCAGCTTCCACCATCATCATGGGCAAGCCACTGAGCCTCCCCCAGCCACATCGCCATACAGGAAGGTGGCATTATAATAAGTCCTCAAAATACGGTAGCTGTCATTATTATCACCATCACCACCATGGTCACCATCACCACAATGGTCACCTTATGGTCACCACCACCATTATCACCTCACCATAACCACCACCATCACCATGGTCACCACCACCATGGTCACCATCACCATGGTCACCATCACCACCAGCAGTGCCATCTGCAGAAGCACCGTCCCCAGCCACCCTGGAATAGCCTTTTGGGAGTGAGGGTGGAATGAGGGTCCCCCAGGTCCCTCAGCCCCATGCCGCATGACCTCCTAGTGTGACTCTGAGCAGGACACCAAGGGCCACTTCACCGTGGCAACAGAGGCAGTGTGGCAGGAGTCAGGGCAGATGCAGGCCTCTGGAGAGGCCAGCTCTCCTGGAATGACCCTACACCGACCAAGGCAGGAGCCTCGCTCTCTCGAGGTGGAACCATCCGCCTTGCGCAGCCCAGGGTTCTCAGGAGGGGAAGTAGAGGAAGCAGCCCTGGGTGGAGAGGCGGGTGGGCAGTGTAGCTCCCTGGACACCAGCACCCTGGACACCCATCCCGTGGCTGACCAGGCCTGCACAGGCTTCCCAAAGGGCTCACAGACAACCTGGCCCCACACGGCCTCAGCTCCACTGCCTTCTAGAGCGCGCTGAGGAGACTCCTCCACCTCTGAAAGGCCATGGCCACCACAGAGACAGACCCTGGCCATGCTGCAAGGGAGGGCAGGGAACATTCCCAGTGGCCGAATGCTGGTCCATGCAGGCCAGTCCCCACACAGGTCCCAGCTGAGGCTAGAGCAGAGGGTCACCTGTACACCCCTGAGGAGGAGGAATGGCTGTTCCTTGTCACCTCCATGGGATCCCTGAGATGCCCAGACGGGGGTGGACCACACACACACGGCCCACCTGCTGGAACCTGCCCTCTGGCCAGAAGCTCTCCTGCCCTCAAACAGATGTGCTTCCCAAGAACTGAGCCTGTTTCCCCCCTGTGTGCTTAGAAACACCAGCCGGGGTCTCGCTGGCCTTAGAACACGCCTAGGAGCGCGCCCAGGTACTCAGGCCACAGCCTGTGCCCAGCACCCTCCCTCCCTCTCTCCCAGCCTGCTTCTCTCTCTTCCTCTCCCATCCCTCTCCCTCTCCTTCATTCATGTGGAAAGGCAGCTTCTCAAAGTAGTCAAGAGCACAGACTGGAACCAAGCCACCAGGGTCAGAATCCTAGCTCTGGCTGGGTGCGGAGGCACATGCCCATTATCCCAGCAGCTCTGGAGGCTGGGCTGGAGGATCACAAGTTCAAAGCCAGCCCCAGCAACTTAACAAGGCCCCAAGAAACTCAGCAAGACCTTGTCTCCAAATAAAATGTCAAAAAAGATTGGATATGGCTCAGTGGTTAAGCACCCCTGGGTTCAATTCCCTCGTACTAAAAAAAAAAAAAAAATCCCAGCCAGGCACAGTGGCACACGCCTGTAATCCCAGCAGTTCGGGAGTCTGAGGCAGGAGGATCCTGAGCTCAAAGCCAGCCTCAGCAATGGCAAGGTGCTAAGCAACTCAGTGAGATCCTGTCTCTAAATAAAATACAAAACAGGACTGGGGACATGGCTCAGTGGTTGAGTGACCCTGAGTTCAATCCCTGGTAACCCCCACCCCCCAAAAGAACCCTAGCTCTGTCACTTACAAACTGTGTGATCTTGCTTAACCTCTCTGTGCCTCAGTTTCATCATCTGGTTGATGGAGAGCTGAATAGTACGTACTTCATAGGGCAATTACCAGCATTACGTTGGTTAACATCTGCTAAACATTTAGAACAGCACCTTTTATAGATAAAGGGTTCTAGAAGAGCTTGCTAAGCAAACGTGATCATATTTATTTAGCAAATACTTGTTGAGGGCTCTCCACATGCCAGGCACTGTTCTTGGGACACGTCAGCAAACCAAACAAAGACTGCTTCCCTCAGGGAACTGACCCAGCTAGTCAGGAAACACAGCAAATAACACAGTAAATAAGAAAGTTATATACTATGACTGTTGTGTGCCAGAGGAGAAAAAGAAGCAGGGCAGAGAGGGGAACTAGGGATGGGGTGTGGCAGGTTTGCATTTAGGGAGGATTCACCTAAAAGCGGACATTGGAGCAATGACTTGACAAACAGGGAGGGTCAGTCACAGGTCTCTGGGGGAGAGCATTCCCAAGGGGACACACAGCCAGTGCAAAGGCCCTGGGACAGGAGGGTGCCTGGTGTGTGTGAAGAACAGGAAGATGTCCAAGATGGGTGGAGCAGAGTGAGGGGACGAGACCGGGACAGGAGGGCAGGGGGTGACCAAGATCACAGAGACTCTGTACTGTTCCAAGTGAGATGAGACCCGTCAGAGAGCTCTGTGCAGGAGGAGGGTGTGAGCATTTCTGGCTGTCAGGCAAGACTGAGCTGCAGGGGGGTGGAGCCATCCCGGCAGATCCAAGTGCTCAGGGGGACACGCAGTTCGATGCTCATGAACAGGGAAGTTCGATGGGAACAAACGGCTGGACACAGAGTCTAGGGAGGCAGAGTGGTCTGGACGCCTGCAGAGCTGGGTGGGATTGTCAGTGGGGTTGCAGGTAGAGGAAGGACCCTGGAGTGAGTCCACCTTCCTCAGCGGGGGCCAGCAGGGCCCGCGGAGGGGATGAGGAGGGCGAGCTGGACACCAAGAGCAGGGATGGGGATGGGTGGGGATGGGACGGCTGATGACCCAGACCAAAGCAGCTGCCAGAGTAGGGAGGCTTAGGAACACACAGCAGGCATCCACTGGGAGTCTGCCATGTGACAGCCAGGACGCTAAAAATACGAAGCCTCACTGCTCTCCCGTGTGGTGAAGCAAGCGCCATCCTCGTCTCAGACGAGGAAGCAGCCCAGGTTCCGGGCAGGCAGGCCTGAGGCAGAGCCCAGCCACTGGCACTATGGAGACTGGCCAGACAACAGCTGTGCACCCTTGCCATCCCAGCACCCAGCAGGCTGCGGCAGGGGGATCCGAGTTCAAGGCCAGCCTGGGCAACTGAGCAAGACCCTGTCTCTAAATAGAAAATAAAAGGGGGCTGGGGAGGTGGCTCAGGGGTAGAGCACTTGCTTGGCATGTGCAAGGCCCTGGGTTTTATACCCAGCATGGAAGGAAGGCAGGACAGAAGGAAGGACAGACAGAAGGAAATCTGTGGACATAAATGAATCACCAATGCCTGGGCATGGGCCACTGGAGCACTGTGGGACTTGGGAAGGCACCCACGGAGGGTGCTGGAAGCCAGGACCCACCCTGGCATGCACAGCCAGGTGCCACAGCGGGGTACCTCCCTGCTGTAAGCTTGGGGGTTCCCATCTTTTGGGGTACAAATGCTCCTACTCTCTAACCTGAAAACATGAAGGCGCAGAGGAGGAGCCGGGGTGGCATGGGTGTGAGGTGCATCTTGGGGCTCCCCTCCCGCCTGCAGCCCCTCTGCTAACCTAAAGATCCACTGACAGGACATTTTTTTCCAACTACCGAATGGAAATTCCTGGCGCAGGCTGAGGCTCTGGGCTGCTCTGTGGGATGAGGACAGCTGGTCTCTTCCCTGTGGAATGTCCCAGAGGCCGGATGCCGTGGGGCAGGAGGCTCCAGCTTGCAGGAAGCAATCGGCCCTCAGTGACTTGGGGATTTTGCATCTGACGGTTACAGCGGTGGCCCTGTACCACCCCCCGGCAAACAACGCCGTACCCAAAACAGCAGGCCTCTGGAATGGCGAGTGTCTGCTTTTAAGTAAATTATAGAAATTCTAAAGGAAAGTTCATGACCTCCTAGTGGATAGACCACACTCCACATCCTGGTTCCTTTCCCTATTTTAGCAGGAAGTCCAACATGTCAAGTGTTCCTGAACACAGTGTAGCCAAGCACCTCTCATTTCATCCTTTGGCACCCTCCCTGGAAAGGAGGTGGTCTACTAATCTCCACTTCATAGCAGGAACCAAGGCACAGAGAGGTTAAGCCACTTGCCCAGGGTTCCACAGCCAGTAAATGGTGGAGTGGGGATCTGAACCTAGGACTTTCCAATCCCAGTTCATAATCACTACACAGCACAGCCCAGAGGGATCAGTGTAGACTTCAGTGTCAGCCCCAGAGCCTGGCACCCAGTGGCACTCAGGAAAGTTGGGGGGATTTATAGAAGGACTTCAGAGCTTGGTGGGATGTCCTCCCTCTTTCCCCAAGAAGACAGCAGAGGCTGTCACACAGTGGAAGGGCCAGAATGACAGGAGAGTGGAGGGGCAGCCCCTCTGGATCCTGCAGGCCCATGTCCTCTCTTCCATCATCGGTGGTGGCATGGAGACTGTGATGGGCAGATCCCCAGCAGATCAGGGTGGACTTTGAGAACTCTGCTGAGCTAGGGCAGCTCATAGCTGATTTCAAAAAGGTCAGGAGGCCGGTCCACTCCCCCACCCTCCTCGCAGGCACCCTCCTTGATTCTTGCTGAGCCCATGGTCCTCCAGCCTGGCTGCCCAGTTCTGCACACAGGCCCCAGAAAGTCCCTTAGGGTCAGCTGCTGCCCCACAACTGCACACAGGTAAAGCGCAAGTCCAGGCTCCTGCCTGCAATGCCTGGCCTGACGGGTGAGACCCTGTGCGCAGGCCCCACTCCGCCCTTCAGCAGCCCCGCCCACAAGGCTGAGGCTCCACAGCAGGTCTGGGTGGCGTCTGTGGGCTGGGGAGCCAGCATGCAAGTCACGGGTGAGTCTATGCCTCTACCCTTCAGGGTCCTTCCAAAGGACCAGCAGGGGAGGGGAGCAGGCCCCAGCGAGGGGTGGGGGGTGTGCTCACCTCCAGCAGCTGCGCGGCGCTGGGTCGGGTCTCGGGATTCTTATCCAGAGCAGTCTTCAGGAAGTCTCGGAACTCCACAGACCTGCGAGGGCAGTGGTCAGCGTGAGCCTAAGTCCCTGGTCACGACTCCATCCTCCCAGGGAGCCATGTGCTTCCCAAACATGTCCCTCCAAGGACAGAGGGCCCTTGATGAGCTGTAACACTGGAGGTGACAGCATACGTGACACTTATCAGGGCATCTGGGAACCCAGCCATGCTGGAACTCAACCAGCCCTGAGCTGTGCCTCGTGGCCACCGGGTCTTCCCCCAGACCCTGAAGGGACGGGCACACTGGGTCACCAGGTGTGCCTCATGGTTTGCATCCAGAGCGGAGGGAAAGGCAGGGAGCTAGACCTCTCCCCGGCCTTGGGGCCTGGCAGGGCCAGCAGAGCCTCCAGGTCGCACGTCCCTGCAGCCTGCCCCTGCGCGCCCCGCAGGTCCCTGCGCCTTACCACTTAGAGGGGGTGAGCAGCGTCGGGGGGTCGGACTTGGCGATCTTGAGCAGGACGCGCATGGGGTTGAGCTCGTGGTGAGGGGGCTCGATCTGCGCCATCTCGATCAGGGTGATGCCCAGGGACCAGATGTCGGCCTTGTAGTCATACGGGGTGTCCTTCATGGTCTCGCAGAGCACCACCTCGGGGGCCATCCTGAACCAACCAAGGGACAACAGAGGGCTGAGAACCCGCCTCCGCAGGCGCTCCTGGCAGTCGCAGGGTCAAGGACCACCACCAGCCAGGTCAGGGTTGGCAGCGCGCCTGAGCCACGGCTGGCGTTACTTGACGTCCCTCTGTCCTCCTGAGCATGCTCTTCGCCTCCACAGGGGCCCCGCCACGGCCTGCTGCAGTTCCCAGGGCCCACCGCAGAGTGGCAGCAGCGATCCAGAGCAGAGGCCTGGGGAGGGGCGGACGGGAGGGCGGAGCCGGCAGCGCCGCAGGGGAATGGAGAGGAGGGAGCCCGGGGAGGAAGGAGAGAGAAAGAAAGGGTTAAGAGCAAGTGAAAAAGCCAGCAAGAGCGAGCCCACAGGGCAAGTCTTAGGTGTGAAGCTGAGCGAGAGAGTTTTGCTCTGTTATTTAGAGTGACGGCTTTGGAAAGGAAGGAAACAGAACAGATTGGGGGAGCCCAGGGCCTGCAGGTAAGGGCAGGAGCTGAACCCTTCCTCCTTCTAGCGGTTCAGCTTATTGAGGGGCGCTGTCAGCATGCATCCCTGTATTATTCCTAGCTTACAGACCAGGAAACTGGGACACAGGGAAGCTAAGCCACTAGTCCAGGGCGCACAGAGCACTAGTAAGTGGAGCCTGGGCTCACGCCCCTCCTGCTGACCTGACCCGTGTGCTCAGTTTTTGGCCTCTGTCCCCCAAACCACCCAGAGTTCCCTTTGCAGGCTAAGCACGCATCCTTGCTGACTTTCAGGGGCTGCACGACTCACCAGTAGGGTGTTCCTATGAAGGAATCTCGCTTCTGCAGGGTTTTCAGATTCTTGGCAGACACACCAAAGTCAGCTGCAAGATGAAAATCTCAGATAAAGTATTTGAGGGACATTCCTCCACCCTGGCCCTGGGGTAGTAAAAGTCTGCCATGAGGACTTAGGGTTATGCATCTCAGATTGGCTAACAATGATCATTTTTTTTTAATCTAGCAAATTAGAGATCATTAAAAATATAATAAATAATACATGCTGCTGTAAAAATATACTGAGATGGGACCTTTCAACTGGCCAATAAGAGTGTAGACTGGAAAAGACCCGTAGGAAAGCAACTCAATAAATAACAAGAGTCTTTAAAACACCCATATTTTTTTGAAACAGTAATTCCAAATGAAGTCATCTACTCTAAGGAAATAATCCCAGTGCAAAAAAAATTGCAATGTACATCAACAAAAACTAAAATAAACAGAATCGTTTAACAGTGTGTGTGTGTGTTGGGGGGTGTGGTGTGATGCTGGGCCTCCTGCATATGACACAATCACCACCTCTGAGCCACATCCCTACCCACGGTGATAATTTGAAAAGCTTTCGAGAAGCCCCACATGGTGGAGTGCACCTGTGGTCCCAGCTTCTTGGGAGGCTGAGGCAGGAGTTCCAGGCCAGCCTGAGCAACACAGCGAAAACCCATCACAAACGAATAAGAAACCACATCATTTATGTATATATAATATATCCTGATTTTTCCAAAAGGCAAATAAACCTCCCCAAAGTCACATGTCTATCACACAAAGACACATAGAGCAAAACAGAGTGGGAAATTAGGAGACGTGAGAAAGACAATGGATAAACAAATAAGAAAAGCACTGCAACCCCATATGTAGGAATTGTCTGTAGTCACTAAAGTTAGTTTTCAATGTAATTTTTTTTTTTGGTACTGGGGATTGAACCCAGGGCACTTCACCACTGAGCCACATCCCCAGCCCAGCCCAGCCCATTTTTTAATTTTGAGACAGGGTCTTGCTAAGTTGCTGAGGGCCTCGATAAATTGCTGAAGCTGGCCCCAAACTTGCAATCCTCCTGTGTCAGCCTCCCAAGTCACTGGGATAACAGGCGTGCACCACCACGCTTGGCTAATAGAAAATATTTTTGAGATATTTACCGATTTATATTTATATTAAAAGGTTAAGTTAGGAAAAGAGAAATGCCAACGTATGGTCGGAACTGTGCCTCAGAAAAAGGGCAGAAATACACATTGAATCGACTTGGAGGAAATGCACCAGACTGTTTAATCAGTGGAGTGTCGGTGGTGAGACTAAGCGAGGCTCCTTCCACGCTCTGAATTCCATAACTCTGCATGACGAACAGTCTGAATCTCAGGATTAACAGGAAATAAACCGACAGCACGGGGCCCTGGTGCACACCTGTGGACCTGGCTCTCAGAGGATAGAGACGTCTGGGCCCATCCAGGGCAGCTCCCAGAGGCCCTGGCTCAAAACCAAGTACATAAAAAAAATTTTAAACACACTTAAGCTTCCTTCACATGCTCACTGTGAAGAGAAGAATCCAGAGAGAAAAATATCCCCCAGCTCCTGCCTTGGGGGCAGAGTTCCATCTTGACGGACAGCAGGTTCAGGAGCAATCGCGCTGAGAACAGATGCTGCAGGTGCCCCGTGCCTGGTGCCCTGTGCCCGGAAACGCGCTGGGAGCCTGGGCCTTGCCCTGGAGGTGAGCAGCCTCCCTGTGCAGCCAGCAGTTGCTGTGTCCAGAGCTTCCATGGGGGCAGAGCCGGAGAAGGCAGGTGCCCCCAGCCCTGGCCTGAACATGAGGGAACTGGGTGTGGCCTTGCTGTCCCTTCCCTGGGTCCACTTGGGCACTCGCCAAACACCCCCCACCCCATGCCAGACACAGGCGAGGTGCAGAGGATGCAGCGAGGACCCCAGGCAAGCCATGCCCTTGGCTCTGGGTGCTCAGGGTTTAAAGAAGAGAGCAGAGAAGCAACCAGTCACACACAGACGTGTAAGGTGATAGAAGGATGGGCAGGCGGACCTAGAGGGGTGACCTCAGAACGCAGTCAGGGAGGGAGGAGGGCCCGGAGGAAACACAGCCCAGCTCCTCCGACAAATTCATTCATTCAGCAGCGATGAGCTCAACCCTGTCCTGTGCCAGGCCCTGTTCTGGTGCAGAGCTGACCTTGAGGAAGGTCTCCCTCTCCTGGAGTAAAAACAAGCCCTTGACCTTCAGGGTGGACTCCTGGGGGTGGGGCGGAGGCTGCTGTGTCATGGAGGCTGGTCTAGAGAGGACAGCAAGATGGGGAGACACTCTGGGCAGAGGAACTGGGACTTAGTGTGGCCACAAGTTGGCTGGAGGGCCCAGGAGGTGAAGGCCAGGACTCCAGGTGAGAACCAGCTGGGCTGCTGGCCCACAGGAGCCCTCTAGGCCCCCTGGGTAAGAATGGGGGCCACCTCTTCCCTCCTGCTGGCCAGCCCCGCCTATGGGAACCCAGCTCCCCGGCAAAGGCAACATGGCTGGCACCTCATCCCAGTCCAGGAAACCCCTTATCACTGACTGCCTCTCAGGCCCAGGTGAAGCCCCAGAAGCTGCCACCCTCCCTAAGGGCCCTGCCAACCCCCTCCCAAGGAGGGAGAGGAAAACCAGAAACTGCAGACTTTCACAGTGACAGCTGCTCCCCTGGGCCTCCCTGACACAGCTGGCCAGCTTTCTGGGTGACTGCCACTTCCCCTTCTGCCTGGGAAGGAGGGTGGGGCAGCCCAGTCCTGAGTCCCCAGGAGCTCAGCAGTGCTGTCCCCAGAGGCGGTGCTGCCCTGGGCCTTGCAGAAGGCATTTTAACCCTCTCTCTCCGCCTCCTGTTTGAAAACAAATCAGGGAAAGGCAGCGGACCAGGGGCTGCCCGTGGAGCCTTGGTCCTGCGCTTCTCACAGCTGCGCGGGGCCACACATCTGGAGCTGAGGTGCCTGCGGGCTTTGCCTGGTCACCTTGGCTCACAGGGGCCCCATTCACATTTCCATTACCTGCCAACAGCCACAGTCTGAAGATACTACATGGAAAATTCTAGGAATGAGCAAATCAAAAGTTTTAAATAAGTTTCATTACAGCATAGTGTTGTAATTGCTCCATTTCATTATTATGGTTGCTAATCTCTTACTGAATCTCATTTATAAATTAAACTTTACATAAATATGTATGTACAAGTTGGTATTATCTGCAGTTTCACACATCCCCTGGGGATCCTGGACCATATTTCCCATGGATAAGGAGGGAGCACTGTATGTTAAAAAAAAAAACTTGGATTTTAAAAAATGTTTGAGATGGTCATGGTGGCTCATGCCTGTGATCCCCACTACCCAGGAGGCTGAGGCAGGAGGATCATAAGTTTGACCAGCCTCAGTAACTTAGACCCTGTCTTGAAATAAATAAAAAGAACGGGGGATGTAAGTCAGTGGTAGGGCACCCCTGGGTTCAATCCCCAGTACCCCAAATACATAAACAGCCATGTACACATATTCATATACATACATAGAGAGATATATGTGCACATGTGTATCTATGTTGGATAGAAATTCTATTTCTGGAAACAAATCTCCAAGAAATTTATAACACAGATGGTGCTTATAAAGCATTATCTGGAGGAACAACAAATTGGAAACAACTGCAACTGTCGCGGGGTTGCCAGCAAGCGCTGAGATCAGTGGTGTTGCCCCAGCCATGAAATAACACACAGCCCAGGAAAGGAGGGGCTGCATGTGGAACGCCAATGTGGAAGTCCATCTGCAACACGCTGTCTCAAACATGCTGTATCATGTCACAGAGGATAGACTGTGATGCAGATCGTGGAACCCATGGCATGAGGTTCCAGAAGTATGTGACAGAAAGATCCATGCATCTTGCGTGTGCACACCACGCACACACTCCCTAAAGGGTCTGGAGCCTCACGTCAGACTCCAGGAGGCTGCCTCTGCGGGAGTGGGGTTTTGGTGGGGGCAGTGCAGGGGGGCAAAGGGATTACATTTTTCACTTTATGCATTTTTATTCTTGAATTGGTTTTGATGAAGTAGGTTGTTTTTATGATTGAAAAAACAGAAATGCATTTGGTAACTTGTTTGGGGTTTTGTGGGTTTTTGTTTTTTCTCTTAAGTAAAACTCAGGAAGTGGTGAAAGAGCTTGGTGCTCCTCTTGGGGAGTGAGAGCGGTGTGACTATGGGGAAGGCCACAGATGTGGCCACTGCAGGTCCCCAGCAAGCCCTCCTCTGAGGGGTGAGTATGGAGAGAGGCCAAGAGCCAGCCTGGCCCCTCGGCGTCACCCATGAGAGAATGACGGGAGCCTAGACACCCAGTGTGAGGCTCTTGCAGGTGGAGCCTGTTCTGTGCACGTGACAGAACGCAGAAGAACATGAGATAGCCATGTTTATGAGGTACAGTGAGCCATACGCGGGAACATGCTGACCCTGTCCAGCTTTAAAAAGCAGACTAGAACATTACGCTAAGTGAATAAGCCAGGCGCGGGAAGACGGAGGCTGCGTGACTTCTCCCGTAAGTGTGGAAATAAAATGTCGGTCTGTGAAAGCAGAGAGTGGAATCACGGAGACCAGGGGCTGAGAAGGTGGGGAGGGACGCTGGATGGAGGATGGCCACTGCCCTCCAGCACAGCAGAGAGACTATGGTGACAGTGATTGACTGTATTTTAAAAATAGCTAGTAGAGGGGATTCTGAAGGTTCCTCACGAACTAGTCAATAGGCAGGCCAGTTACCCCGGTGCGATCATTATATGCTGCAGACACGTGGAAATGCCACCAGGTACCCATGAATATGTGCCCTGACCATGCATGGATTAAAAATAAAAAATGAATAAAAAAAAAAAAAAAGGAAGGGCTGTGTAGCTCAGGGGACCAACGCTCAGCAGGCCGGGAGGGCGACCCCAGCACACAGAAATATAAAAATGAAGAAAAACTGTAAAGACTAGAAAACCAACTACATGCTATGACCTCAACATGTTAAAAAGTGCACATCGATCTTACAGAAACCAGTATGTACTGCGAGTTCACAGGCAGCACTGCGCAG